TATCCTAATTGGGCGTTTGTAAAGTCAGCAAAGATGCACAGAAAAGAAGACCAGACACCAGCGAGGGAGGATAAGAAAGACAGACGCAACAACATTGTCATCCCCTATGTAGCCGGTGTATCAGAGAAACTCAGAAGAGTTTTCTCCAAGCACGACATCCCGGTGCATTTCAGACCCAGCAACACGGTCAGACAAAAACTGGTTCACCCGAAAGACAAAACTCCTAAACACAAACTTAACAACGTGGTGTATGCTGTACAGTGCAGTGAGGATTGCCCAGACCTCTACATTGGAGAGACCAAACAGCCACTTCACAAGCGCATGGCACAACATAGAAGAGCCACCTCCACAGGACAAGACTCAGCAGTCCATCTGCATCTAAAGGATAAAGGACACTCTTTTGAGGATGGCAATGTTCACATTTTGGACAGAGAGGACAGATGGTTTGAAAGAGGAGTGAAAGAAGCCATTTATGTCCACTGTGAATGACCATCTTTGAACAGAGGTGGTGGTTTACGACACCAACTGTCTGCCATCTATAATCCAGTTTTGAGATCCCTTCCCAGACGCCTTAACGCCCACTCACCTCCTGGGCCATCTCACCTCAGGAAATCGCATGATAGGGTGGGGCCAGGTTTCACAATGAGCTCACCCGAAACACTGGCTGACTGTGACCCACACCCGTTTTCACACCTTGGCTCATGTGATTAGGTAGAGGATCATTAGGGGTCCTTTGTCCCTCTTTGGGGGGAAACTCCAACTGGGATATTCCTCTCCTTCCATCTCAAATGTAACATCTGACATTAGAGGGAAGACATTTTTACAATTTAAGTAACACTCTTGGTATAGAGTGTTTGTCTTTTTCATTGGTTAGTACTAAACCTAATAACTGGTTGGGTCACTTCAAAGTTTTCATTTTGTTCTTAAGCCAGTGTGTGTGGACTGGCTGGTGTGATTTGGATCATTGTCCAGAACGCAAGTGCACTTCAGCTTGAGGTCAAGAACAGATGGCTGGACATTCTTCTTCAGGATGTTTTGTTAGATGGCAGAATTCATGGTTCCATTTACCACAGCAAGTCTTCAGGTCCCGAGGCAGCAAAACAGCCCCAGACCATCACACTACCACCACATTTTACTGTTGGTGTTAGAGTCAAATTGTTAAATGTTGCCATTATTGTACTTAAATTTGTAAGTCTTGGTTCAAACTATATGATTAAGGACTTTCCTTTGTTTCTATCCGGTCGTTAAGTCTGACGTCACTAGCCGTGTCTGGGCCTAAACTCCGCTGCAGGTCCATATATCAAACGATCACTATGGCATTACTGAGAGTTGAAAAACTGTCTAAAGTCTTTCATCTTTAATAAAATGATCAGCGTTCTGCTCTACCAGGTGTAACAATTGAGTTTAACATCCAGGCATCCATGAAAATGGAATTTATGACATTTAACGGAGTTAGAAGTTAGCAGGGAGTTAGCTCGCTAGCTTCTATCTAAATACAATATAGCATGTCCTGACTGCGGGGTTTTGGAAACAAATTAAAACGTATAGCTCTGTTATCACTTCCAACATAAATGAAGACAGAAAACTAAACAGCAGTGACGTTTGTAGGGTTACTGAAGTTGGGCTAGCTGGTATATAATGATGTGCTACGTGGCCGCTAGCGACACAGCTATGTTAGCATAATATAAACAAGATAACTTTTTTTTCCACTCGATAAAAGTTAACGTGAGTGTTCTCGTGGTCAGGAACAAATGTAATCGCATGGCAGGATGCTGTAAAAGGACCAAACTTCAGCCAGGAGAACAACTGAGATAATCCATCCACAATACGAGGTTAGTCATTCATATACTGCTGCATGGGCTGGGCTTTAGTTACATCCTAAGGTTTTAAAAACTCAGCTTAAATAAATGATTAGCGGTAATAAAAGCCGAGGGAGGTCAACAGTGATCACTGACTGTTTTAGGAGCTTTTTGAGATTAAATAGAAGAAAATACAAAACATTAAACATGTTAACAACACAAAAGCCATATTAAACGCAGACTACTTTAGGCCCGGAAGTAGGGTTAGTCACGTCATCACTTAACGACCGTCCTCCCCAGCCTGTTGAAAGGTGGGGGAGGCTATAGTGTTTAACTACAGGGACATCGTATGTGAAGCTTCTGTTTCTGCTTTCTTATTTAGTGAGGATGTTTTACTTGCCATTTATGACCTCACCTGTGCTTGTGTATGGTGAGATGGTGAGAACGTTAGAGGGGTTAAGCCATATACAGGGTGGGGGAGATTACCCTTTGGTGAGCAGGAGGTCACACAAACGCACCCCCAGACACACACACACACACACACACACACACACACACACACACACACACACACACACACACGCCTAGTGCCTGACACCATAGGGGGGGGGGGTTTACAATGAGTGTTTGTGAAACTGTGTGTCACAGAAATAAGAGGCTGCAGGGGAAGCTGGTTCTTTGAAGTGGTCTGTCACCAAGGGCAGAAGGGCTGCTCTGAGATCCTTCCCTTGCTAGTATGTGAAAAACCGGTTGAGCTGTTCGTCTTGCTTTGTTAACGGGAATACGTTTCTGAACCAGCGGGGCCTGTGGAAGCGCAGACCCAACAGTTGGTATGATGTTACTTTTACACCAGATGTAATGGGACACACACCTTCCAAAAAGTTTAACTTTTGTCTCGTCAGTCTACAGAGTATTGTATTAGTATTGTAGTGGCCACAGAAATTGAACTCTGCTTTCCAAAGATGACATATATTACAGTTCATTTATGCTATTATAGTCACTGATTGGAGAGGTTGTAATCACAGAGTTGTGACTGTAAGTAGTAAAAAAGATAAATATAAGAAATTTGAGTTACAACTTTGCAGCTCTCAATATGGACACATTTGTGTATAAATTTATTTTCTGTAATTGTAGTGTGTGTGTGTGTGTGTGTGTGTGTGTGTGTGTGTGTGTGTGTGTGTGTGTGTGTGTGTGTGTGAGTGAAAATAAATAAAATTTTAAAAAATGTTACAAGTGAAAATTTCAAAAGTTCAAATTTGTTCTACACATTGTCACTTTTTTTGAAAACTCTCACATTTTGCATTATATTTATTTATTTATATTTATATTTTTTGTCAAATAATGCCACCCGGCCAATAAAATGATGAGTTGAAGGTGGTGTGACTTTCATTTGGGGAGGGGGGGGGCTCTCTGCAAGCTGCACTACATGAGAGACATCTCCATTAGGAGGTAAGATACAGATCACTATTTTACATGTTTAAAGTGAAATAAGTGTATATAAAAATACTTGTATGTGCATGAATATGTTAAGAAGTATATTTGATTGTTCGTTTTACTTTTTAAAATTTATTTCTAGAGTAAAACTGTTAATTTTCATTCGTTACCTCAAGGCAACACTGCAGTTAGCCCAGTTTTTTTTCAGGCAATATAATACATTAGCATATGTGTGTAGAGATGTGTTTGACTATGATCATACAAATGCACACAATGTTTTTTACTTTACAATCTACTGATAATTACAGGACATGGACGTTAAAGCCTTTTATGGAAGGAAACCAAGGGAATGTGCAGAAAGTGTAGAAAGTGAGCTTTCAGGGAGTGACAGTGAAGTAGAGGAGTGGATCCCTCAAGAGGTCAGAGGTCAGCTGATAAAGTAATTGTGTGTGTGTGTGTGTGTGTGTGTGTGTGTGTGTGTGTGTGCACCCGTGCACCCGTGCATGCACATCTTCCTGTTGCATTTCTTTCTTTCTAATACTTTTTTCTTTTCGATGCATGGTGCCAGGGTGCAGTGGTACACCAAAAGCAATGTGCCGCAAAAGCAATGTGCACCTCAGCTTCACCCCGACCCCAACTGCTTCCTGAGGTTCAACACTGAATGCACAAGACACCCTGAGAGATCCCTGATCAAGTGTTGGATGTATTTTGGTGTTTTATTGTTCTGTGAAATTGTTTATTTGTTGTTTGTTTATTTGTTCATTCTTGTCGTACTAATAAAACTTATTATAGAATAACTTGGTGTTTGACTACACTTGTTGCACAGTGTTGCGTTGAAGCAACAAACCAATATCTGTTTGGGGGGGTCAGATTTTATGATTGATATATTATTACGGATCCTAAAGCTTCCCCAAAATAGGGTGGAATTTTTTTTCCCCCCCCCAAAAAAAGTCATGCAGTAGAGGGTTAAAACGTTATATTTTTTGATATTTTTGTGAAAGTCTTTGATCTTTACTGCTCTGTGGTGAAAGGCTGATCAGGTATTACCATGTGTGCCTGACCAGTGGGGTGACGTAGGATTTTCAAATTGATACTATAGGTGCATCTACTAAAAATCTTGGACAAGTTTTAATATCTGTGAAACTTACCTCAAAGTCAGGGTCAGAGGTCAAGTTTTCTGAAAATCTTTTCAGATTATTGAATTCAGTAATCTGAATCTCAGAATCTCAGATCGTGATAATCTCTATTCAGGGCTGAAGTGCAGCCCTTCACAGCAGTCTAAGGTTTTCATGTGGCCTTTGCGAAAACTTAATTGTTCAACCCTTAGAAAGTGATTGCAAATGGGTCAGTGACCCCAGCTATACTTCAGAAGTTGTGGCAGAAAGGTTTAATAACTACAAAGTGTCCTGGTGTTGCTGTGACAAATCAATGAACCCAAGTCCAGTTCAAAATTTGTGGTTAGACCTGACCAATGCAAATGAGGGAAGAACTCACAGTAATTTATTGTTTGGAGCTTGTGGCATTCTACCTGAAATATTTGACCCTGGTGGTATAAATGTTATGATGCCTTCAGCTTCAACTGAAAAGCTAAGGAAATAAGTAATCGAAGTATTACATTCTGAGTTTTTAAAATGCCTAAGATCTAGCTTACTGGAGACATAATGCAGTTTGCTGTTTTTTAGTTCTTCAGAAACCCGGTATGATAAAACAAAGATTTCTGTTACAAGCTAGAATTTATTTGTTTGACCTGTTTTATTTCTCTCTCAGGGTCCAATCAGCTGTGATCAAGGTGTTCAAGGGGGGAGCTCTGCAGACTAATGAGCTCTACACACTTAACGAGAGCATCAGGTGACACTTTACTTTTTCTTTTCAAATTAGCCTTGCTGAATCAGAACAGAACAAAATGCAGAGACAGAAGAAGTGGAAAGAGTCGGCAGAAACAATAAGTGAAGAACTAATTTAACTTTAAATGAACTTAAAGAAGAAACTGGTTTGGACTGTGTGAGTGAGATAAAAAGGAACATGGTAGCTGCCAGTCTTCCTCACTGCTCAAGTCTTCTGTGTCTTTGTAGGTGGCTCCTTAAAACTGAGATGGGTTCCTTCATCACAGAGTACTTCCAGGTATTTTCTCTTCCTCTTTTACCTTTTATTACTCCTGAGTAAAGTAACAGAGTTCATGTCAGCAGGAGTCTCTAAGTCAGAAGCATCTGAAGGTCTGTTTGTTTTCCGTGGGCAGGGGAAACATTTACTGTTGCCGATGTTGGGCGCTGTCCTTACTTTGTCTTATCATTAGTCTTGTAGTACTGGTACTGGATTTTTGAGCATTTTACCAATACTCAATTCAATTCACTGCCACCACAACAACACCCATTTTAAAGAACTTAATATATTAAGGTAAAGAGGACTACAAATTTGGAGAGATAACACTATCAAAAGTGAATCCTACATGGTGACTGCCAGTAGGAAGACCTCCAGCAGAACCAGGCTCAGTAAGAGATAGTGACGGGATGAGGGGGAAGAGAATAGAAAAAAACGTATTGCATAGAGATATCAGGAACAATAAACTGGACAAGATACAAAGTACAGTAAGCAGTATAGTATTGTTGGGGCGATCGTGGCTCAAGAGTTGAGTGTTCGTCTTGTAATTGGAAGGTTGCCGGTTCGAGCCCCAGCTCGGACAGTCTTGGTCGTTGTGTACTTGGGCAAGACACTTCACCTACCGCCTACTGGTGATGGCCAGAGGGGCCGATGGCGTGATATGGCAGCCTCGCCTCTGTCAGTCTGCCCCAGCTGCCCCCAGCTACAACTGTAGCTTGCCTTCACCAGTGTATGAATGTGAGAGTGAATGAATAGTGGAATTGTAAAGCGCTTCGAGGGGTCCCGAAAAGCGCTGTATAAATGCAATCCATTATTATTATTATTATTATAAGGAATTTAATAACGTACAATAGTGGCATGTAGGTGGAGTGGTGAAAAGAGAGGAGCAGCGTAGAAGTTCTCAATGCATCATGTAAAGTTGCTACAATTTTATAGATTTTTGCTGATATGTTGATCACCGAAATTATTTTTAAAGTTAGTCAAATTTGTTATTTTATGGGAAATAACCTTTAAATTGTTATGGATTGTGAGCCACAGGAACTACTGTATCACTGCCATTGTAGTTTTTGTGAGACTTGTAGTATTTTAGTTCTGTCTCGCTTGTATTACTGATCTTAAAATTGGAAAGGCATTTATTATGAAATTGCAGGCTGTTTTTGACAACACATCCCCTTTGTGTTCGGATGTGTTTGTGTCCTTTTTAATTTTTCTTTCTTTTCTTTCTGGTTTTTTTTTTTTTGTTTTTGTTTTTTTTTTTTTAAATGATCTGCATGTTATGTCAGCACTGAGTTTCTGGTCTTCTTTGTGCTGAAATGTCTTTCCTCTTCACATCCTGAAGCAGCTTAGCTTTCATTCTGTCATGACATTCAGATTAAATTTTTTGCGGTTATTCTGAAGGACTTCAGTAAAAAAAAATGTAATATTTAAATATCCAGTGTTATTATCAACAGTACAGTTCTGCTTTATATATGCACCAAACAGCCACAGCATTATAATCATATTATAATACATATTATACAAATAAAGTGAAAAATACTGAACATTACAAATCACTATAATGTTCTGTTAGGAAAACCTTGCAATCAAGCATTCATGTGGATAATATTGGACATGTACTAAGTCCTTCTAAAAGCCAATATGTTTACAGAGCTGCTTGAAAAGCCTCTGGGCACTGATTTAGGTATTTATTCACCTCATCATGCTTTATTTAAAAAGCACTTTGCTCTCAGACTGCAGGCTTATTCGTGGTTCCTAGTTCATTGTTCAAGTTGTTCAAGTAGAATGGGAGACAGGCCCTTCGTTACGGAACCAGCTTCCAGTTTGGATTTGGAGAGACAGACACACTCTCTGCTTTTAAGATTGGACTTAAAACTTTCATTTTTTTAAGGAGGCTTTTAGTTAGGGCTGGAGATATCGAGATTAGACTCGGCAACCAGTGGCAATACAATATTTCCACAGTCTGGAACTGAACTCTATTCTCCCAAACAAGAATGCTCGCCTCAAAAGAGTGGGATTTATCAGAGATTACCTTCAGAACTTGGGAGTAAAGCATGGAATAATTAGCCTGCTTGTAGTCTTGACTTCAACCCCGTCAAGCACCTGTGGGACTTCGGTGTGCTCTTGTACAGATTCACTAACTTGTGACAAATGCTGGTTGAAGAATGAAATGCCATCCCCCAGTAGTATGTGATCCACATGAGGAGCAGAGGTGAAGGACTGCAGTGGCTGTGGATGCTTCTTCCACATGCTTTTGAAGCCTGTTTGTTTGAATCAAATGTGGCTCCATTTAGGGGGAAAGAAACCGGCTTTGCAGCTATATACACTTCACTACCAAGAAGCATTGTTAGAAGTCGGAGGTGACTCTACCGACAAGGCGCAGGAACTTTCACTTGAGCCAGATGAAACTATGGTGTCATTTGATATAGTCTCTCTCTTCACTTGCATACCTACAACAGAGGCAGTGGAGACTGTTAGAAAACCCCGATCAGATTTGCACACTGTTAGATCCTAAAAACAAATGAATCCAAATTTGGTTAATGAATCCAGCCGTAATTTCCTTTTCTTTTTTTCTTGTTTTTGCTCAGAATAAGAACATTTCCATACAAATATTTGTAAATGAATCTCATTATTTGTTTGTTTTTTAATGTCTTTGTAGTACATTGAGTTACCTAATGTTAGTCACTGCACAAGAGAACCAATGATTGAATCTCTTAATATTAATTGATATGACTGCTTCAGTCATTTAGCTTTAATCAATTTGCTCTGAACTCAAGATCAAGAAACAATTTTCACCTTTAGATCTCTCTCAATGGCTCAGATACTTTATGAATTACTTTCACTAACACCAGAATTCAATTCATAACACTGAAATTCTTAGAAAACCTCAATTTAAAAATTGTGTCACTAGGAACAATCCATGGTACTAGAACTGCAGTCCCTGATCAGTGTCAGCCGTTGCCAAAAGAGCCAAGCAAACCAAACAAAAAAGCGCTGTGAGTGCTCCAAGTCTGGTTGCCCCGCGCAACTGAGAAACCACAGGGCTCCTGGTTCCTGTGACGAGCGAAAAGAGCTGCGAAACTAAAGAGCAATCTCTGCTGTCTCATTATCTGAAAGGAAATGTGTGCTGTGTAAATGTGTTCACTGTTACAGTGATGATAGTTTCCTGTGCTACTTACTAACACAATAAATAAGGAAGAACAGCAATGCTTTTTATACTCTGCCTTTAAAATATTTGACCCATGTGTTAAAACACCTGTATGCATGCTATAATAACAATAATACCTTGTTGGTCACTGCTTCAGTAGTGATATTTTTACATAAATACAAGCTAGAGTGGCTGTGGCCCAAGAGGTAGAGCAGGTCATCGACTAGCTGGAAGGTCAGTGATAAGATATTGAACCCTGAGTTGCCTGTGATGCATCCATGTGAGTGTTATTATAGTGATATCAGGTTGAAAGTGCTTAGGTTAGAAAAAAGTACTCTTATAAATGAACCTCATAGTATTAAAATGCTTTGCGTGCTCAAATTGAGTAGAAAAGTACCAACCACAATATTTATAATATGATTAGTTCTTTTGTAATGTATGAATGGATTTTTGTTTGGGTATTAGTGCGTTAATTTAGCAGGTTAGGACACTGACAGTGATTTTCAGACAGCGCTGAACACAGGATCACACAGTATTTGGACTGGTTAACTTTCAGTCTGAATCTTTGGGAATCTCTTTATAATCCTGTCTTCTGTTCTAATCTGACATGTGGTAAGATTAAATGTGTGATTATTTTCTTTTTTATGTTGTCCCAATTTGAAATGGCAGTTGCATGAAATGTGGCGTGAAATTTAAAGACATCAGCTTGTAGATGATGACCTACTTATTGGCTTGATTGTCCTGGATACACAGTTCAAATCTTTGTCTGTCTGTGTTGATGTTTTAGAATCAGCTGCTGAGTCGAGGTCTATCTGGAGTCCTGGAACAGATCCTTCTTCAAAACAGTGACACTGGTTAGTAGGGTGTTAATATAAAGAAGCTGGAATCTCTTATGTTTAGTTCGCCCTATGTTTACTATCAGCTCAGAACAATGTAGAAGAGAACAGGCCTGGATCAGCACTGTCTCATATTGCCCATAAAATAGAAAATGAATACATTCTTGTAACTGTAGGATTTAAAATGACAGAAGGGAAATTTGATTAGGTGGTGTGGTATTTAAGCCACTGAGAATTCTGCATGAAGTCATTTGCAAATAAGTAAGGTTTATTTACATAGTGCTTTTCAAGAACAAAATTCAAAAACTGTTTTACAGAAATAGGGATACAATATGTCTGTGAAAGTTCTCAGTCCTCCAGGCTACCTCGCCAAGGGATTAATAAAGTTCTGTTCTAACTCTTTAAAAAGCAAGGATGGGGGTACGGAGCTCAAGTACACAAAGCTCTGGTACACTTGGGTTGTGCAGCAGAACAATGATCTAAAGCACACCAGCAACCTCTGAATGACTCAAAAAAATAAATAAAGGTTTTGACTTGGCCTAATTACATTTTAGACTAAAGCTAAGATGCCTTTACATGAGCTTACACAGGCCGTTCTCTCAAAAATGAGCAGCCTGTTTAAAGTCTGGCTGAATTTAAACAATTCAGGAAAGAAGAGTGGGCCAATTCCTCCGAAAGACTAGAATTTCTTATGTTGCTATGTATGCGTCTCTATCCAGTTAATCCCACCAAGAAATGTTGAAGTTTATAGCACTCTAACATTATATTATGTTTTCAATCAGCTGGGGAAAATATCTGAATCTGCTCTTAATTGTCATTCCATTAAGACTGAACAGAGTAAGTTAGTGGAATTTGGATTAAAGGGAACTGTATTGATATTTTTGCACTCCCACTGTAGAAGTTATTGAATTCTATTATGTTGGTTTTTTTAGCTGGTTTAGTAAATTGTGACTATTGTGTGTAAAAACTGGTTGAAAGGATTGAACTAATAATTGTTTCTCTAATAATTTTGACTGATTTAAAATGTGAAAAAATAAAAATGTGTTAGACTGTGACACTGATGGCACCCCACATTTTCCAAAGGTTGCTGTAGTGGCCGTGTCTGATATTTTCTGATGGACCATGGAATCACTGCATATATGATTGTTGCCACTATGTTGCAGCCAAATAAAGGATATTGATCTGTTATAAAGTAACAGGTTTCAGCAGAACATCATGCTTGTGTCTATCTTCTGTTAACCTGTTTGTTTATACAGACAGAAAAACAGTACGAGTAAGTCCTCAGATGGTGGGAAAAGCTCAGCATATCACTGTAATATTGGTTGTATTTCTAACTCGTGTCCCCACAGATGACAACCAGCTTAATGTCCTTGCCTGTATGTGGGACCAGTTCTTCACAGAGACCCTCCCTACACTGCAGGCCATCTTCTACCCTGTCCAGGTAAAGTGTTCATCGTCCACATTACAAAAATGTGTAGTTCAGTTCTTCCCGAACTTTAATAATACGGCATTCAATTAAACCAAGACTTCTGGAGCCTTTTTATATTATGTTACTTATGTTATGTTACTTTAAATCTGCCAATCCAGAAAAATGATTGTCTGCAAAACTCACTGTATAATGTTGTGATCTGTGGTGACAGTAGAAAGCAGGTGAAAGAGAGAGATGAGGTATGCACTTTAAAGAAGAGGAATAAAATCTAGTAGAAGAAAGACGGGTACAATCTGTGTGAATTGGAGTTAGGGAGGTGTAATGTTTAAGATGCATGAAGTACAGGTAGTGAAGGCAGATGGGGATAACCATTTGAAGGAACAGTGTAAAAGAGAGAAGTCAAGAAGAGGTTGCAGGCAGGTGAAGTGGGCAATTTGTGACAAAAGGGAAGCGGCGAGGAAGGATGGTAGTGAGACCAACTATTATAGAGTTTAAAGATGGTTAGTCTTACAAAAAACATGGGGAGGAGCTAGATGAGTCAGGAGTGGCAGATCATGCTCAGTGTTTGTAGACAAAATAAGAGAGGCAAGGATGAGATTGTGTGAACATGTAGAGATAAGGGCTTGTGGATAAATTAAGCAAAGGATATTGAAGAAGGAGCAGCTAAGGGTATTGAGACAGGAAGAAAAAATGAAGACCAAAGGGGAAATTCATTAATGTAGGGACTGAGGACATGCAGAGGGTTGGTGTGACTGGAGATGTAGGCCCCTAAAAGGAGAGGCTGAAAGAAGACATTCGTATAGTACCAGTTAACAACAAGATGCCATATAATGTACGATATAGACTCAAAAAATGTTAGAGAGAGAGAGAGAAGCCTGATGATCAGATGAGTAATCACTGAGATATGGAAGAAGAAAAGGAACTCCCATTTAACAGCAGAACCAGGCTCAGGGCGCAGGGGTGAACAAATGAAAACTGTGATGTTCATAAAAGTAAATCTTTTTCTTTTCTTGCTACATTTTTGAATTTGTGAGATTACCACAATGGTATCAGAACAGTCAGAAGTTTTTTCTGTTATTTTCACAGCTCAATTGTCCAAAAAATGTTTTGGAAAAAAAAATATTGTTTGTCCAAAGAATGTTTTGGACACACAATATTGTGTCCAAAACAGCTGTGTCATGGGCTTAGTCTGTGTCTGTGCGTGGTTTTAGAAGATCTAAAGTTACAGATTTAAAGCCTTACATCACCTGGGGTCATTTGAGTGCAGAGGTTATTAGATTAACCCTCTGATCTGAGGACTGAAGTAAAGTGCTTCTGAGCGATATTTTTCATTCTTTTTGGTTGTATTTTTTCACATTATCTAGATTTGAAATCATATTGGGATGAAAAGCCCACATGAGGTCACCGTAATGTAAATTATGAAATTTTAATGGGAAGACTCGGCTGAAAGTGAAAGTAGGGCGCAGGTAGCAGTGATTATGGTTAAGGCAAGTGTCCAGCAAATTAACCAATACTGAAATGTTGTCTTTAATAATAGTCTGTGTTTATGTATTTTTAAATATGACTTTGTGCATTCCAGGGTCAGGAGCTGACTGTGAGACAGATGGCTCTCTTGGCCTTCAGAGACCTGGTGCTGTTAAAACTTCACCTGGAGGACACTCTGGGAAATGCAACCTCTATTCCTCCATCAGTCACACAGATGCTACTGGTGTTACAGGTAAACACACAGTCACACACAATCACTCGCTCTATTTAAGTTAATTACAAGTCAGTTACAGCCTTTATTTCTTAATTAGCACGATATTTCTTCATGGCCAACATCACTGTAACCCAGAAACCCAGAAAATACAATCAGATACATATGAAACAGTTTGTCCATGTTAGCTTAATCATATTATTTGGAAATGCAGCTAAAACTGAGCTTGCATCAAATGTTAATGTCCCAAAAGATAAAGAAAAGCTATGAGCATAACATAAGAATGCAGTTAGGTCAGAGGTGTGGCCATTATTAAACAGAAAGTACCTGTGAGTCCATAAAAGTTTTCATTTTGGGTTTATTGCTAACATATTTGACTCTTATGTGAGCTACGTACTGGTGTTGTTGTTGGTGAAATTAAAGATAAAAATGCAAAAATAAAAGAACAGGCTATTTAAAAGTACTAATCATCACTAATACCCCTAGATCTAAACAGTTTTAACACGAAGACCTTCAATAGGTTTTTGATTTTAGGAAACAGATATTACTTATCAATACACTAGTTGATACCATTCTCTATATTTTATATAAAATAAAGATATAACAGACGTTATAATTCTGACACATTACGGGGCCAAAATAATCGTACTTCTGCCATCGATATTACTACAATACTAAATTGTTTTTCATTGTCATGACAGTTTACACTAAATTCAGACTTAGTGTAAACTTAGGCTAGCTACATGGTAGTTGTTGCTGTTGTGATGATTTGTTACCAAGCATTCAGGACCTAAATCAACCCAAATCAACTTGACTCCACTGTAATAAATGGTGGGGAATTTTTTCACAATAATTAAGCAATTTAAGAATGTGGTTGTACGTTTGATCTGACAGAACTATGCCTGCTGCTTGTCTACATTTAAAGAAATAGTGTGGGACCAGGAGGTTGCCCTGAAGATGCTGATATAAAGCATTGACTGCTTGCTAAAGTAAACATATTGTGCTGTGAAGAATATTATAGTTGAATTTAGTTGAATTTTTCATTAGTTGTAAAATGAGCCCAGTCTTTTGAACATTCTGACCTGTCGGCTTTGACCGCAAAAAAACAAAATATTAACGCACAGCGATGTCAAATGTAATCCCTTTAAATTGGCACATTTTATTGGGGGTTAGTTAGAAATTAGAAAGTATCAGATATATTAGATTGCATTAATACTGCATGAATTCCAGTAGCAGTACAGTTTGCCTAGATGCTTCTCATTACTACTGACCACTCTGGTCCTGGTATCCATCCTTACTTAGTATTTTGAAGTGATGTCTTCAGTTTTTAAAATATCATACAGAGGCCCAAAGGTACTCACTTAACATCAAAAATTGTATGAACGTCTTTGTCTTTTTCTGCCAGGGTATCCATGAGTCGGGTGTTCCAAGTTCGGAGTATCACCGTTTGGAGAGTCTCGTGGAAATTGTTGTGTCTCCATATATCTGCAATGTCCTGCACAATAGAAACAGCCACCAATTAGGTCAGTCCACTGATCACTGATACTGCTTTTACATTACATTGATTTGTTACAGTTAAAGTTACAAGTTACAGATTTTAAGGCTTACATCACCTTGGGTCACCTAAGCGCAGAGGTTATTGGTTTAACCTTCTGAATTGAGGACTAACGTAAAGTGCTTTTGAGCTATATTTTTCACTCATTGTGGTTCTACTTTTTTCCACATTATCTGGATATGACATTGTATTAAAGATAAAATACCAGAAGGTTAGTTGTACTCCCAGCACAGTTTCGAGAGCATGGAGGAAATTTCAGGAGACGGGTAGTAACTCTGGATAGGGCCGTAGAAGGTCCTTAACCCATCAACAGGACTGGTATCTGCTCCTTTGTGCAAGGAGGAACAGGCTGAGCACTGCCAGAACCGAACAAAATAACCTGGCTTCAGGTTTCATGACAGCGTGGCCTCTAATGGGCCCTGTGCTCACTGCCTGGAACAATGGATCCTGGTTTTCATTTATCATAAAATACCAGAATTGGCAGGTTGATGGCAGAAATCTTGTGCTTTTCACAGATGTCAAGGGTTCCAGAGAACCATGGAAAGTGTTATGCTGCATGTAACATTGTTCAGCACAACCAATTTGGTGGTGGGTTAGTGATGGTCTGGCGAAGGATGCATATACTTCTACAGGCTCTACAGGTTATAACACCCTGACTGCCATTAGGTATCAGAATGAAATCCATAGATCCATTGTCAGATGCTACACTGGTGTGATGGTCCCGGGGTTCCTCTTGGTGCACAACATTGCCAGGCCTCATGTGGTTAGAGTATGTAGGCAGTTCCTGGAAGATGAAGAAAATTGATAACATGACTAGTCCACTTGCTCGCCTGGCTTAAAGCCAACAGAACACCTCTGGGACATAATGTTTCAGTTCATCTAGTGCTGCTAGGTTGCACCTCAGACTGTCCAGGTGCTCAGTGATGCCCTGGTCCAGATCTGAGATGAAACTCCCCAGGATGGCATCTGTCTATTGTTAGACAAGCACACGGGGGCCATGCAAACTTCTGAGTACCATTCTGAGTTGTTGTAAAGACATTTCAGCATAATGGACTAGTCTGCTGCATCAATCTTTCACTTTGAGTTTTTGGGTTGTCTTTGAATTTACCCTTCTGTCACTTGATCATTTTCATTTCCATCAAAAAATGTAGCTTATCTGTGTTCCTAACACATTAACCAGTCCATACCAGTACTGATAGTGATTGCATGACTTTTTAAAATCTTTTATCGTCCTTTTAACTTTTCAATAGCTAACCAATGATTTCTGATTTCAGGTTGCTCAAACATAAAAAAGGTGCATTGTTTTACATTGACCTCTGCATCCATCTGCAGTTGATTTTCAATACAAATCTAATGGTATAGATGTCTTTACTATGACAGATGGATTACATTAAGAAAGTAATGTTTATGTTTTTAAGAAATAATTAGTAAGTTTGCAACAAAAGTGCCTGCTGAACTTAGTCAGCTTGTTTCAGAGGTCAAAGGCAATGTGCTGTTTAAATCCTCTCAGAGGTTGGCCGCTTAATCTGCTCCTGCTGCATTGTAGTTTCATTCCAGCAATAACCAGTTACTTCACGTTTCAAAACATAATGTGCTCCTGTTGGAGGAGACTCTGAAAAAGTTTTACACACATACACAATCTCTGCACGACTGAATAAAGATTATTGGATCAAATAGCTGGGTTTAATTTCAGGATGGATCAGATCACAAATCTTGCTGTCTGCTACTGAACAGTTAGATCAGTGCTCGTCTTTCCTACAGCATTCTGACAGGAACACGTTAGTTACAATAAAGTGACGAACTGTAAATAAATAACCAAAGATATTTTCTATGAGTCATAATTCTTCACAGAATTATTAAAAACAGTCATTAAAGTGAACATATTCTGCTTTTCCTTCATTTCTGTCAGATATGTATGGAAAAATGGACAAATATTAAAACCTATCAAAACAACCTTACACCTCTGAACAGCTTTCTATTCAGGAAAGGATCTCATGGTGCCTTTCTACTTGCACCCTGTACATGTCTGCCATCTTGTGGTCACAGTTGGCTATTGTTTCTTGAGGGCAGTTTAAGTTGACTATAACCACTAGGGTTCTGGGCTGCACCACTAGAGTCTGACCCAGAGGTTATAGCCATGTTTTGCACTGGCTGTGATCGGTGTTGATCATTTCTGTCATTTCATTGACGATTTGTGTCCTGTTAACAACAGCTCTGTCCCACTTCCCATTTAGGGGCTGCATCCATTGCAGGATAAATTGGGACGCAGCTAAAGGCTGGAATTTGTCAAGCTAAAAGGCCAGCATCCTCTTCTGGTTGTTTGCAGTATGTTTTCACTATGTGGAACACTAACAAGAAGCAAGTATGCTAGACCAGCTGCCCCCCGCTGTTCACTGATCTGAAATCAGTAAAGTCTGAATGTCATTGTACACATGTGCAGACATGTTTGGAAACATAGCAGTAGCAAGTGAACAGGAAGTTTACATCATGATTGTCACCACTGGGGGTTTCTCTGTATTGTTGTAGGCATTGGAGCTTCAGCAAACCATGGTGAGAACAATTATCTATAAATGAAGAAAACTTGGATCAGTGGTGAACCTTCCCAAGAGCAGCAAGCTTGCCAAAATTACTCTAAGAGCACATTGACAACTGGAGTCACAAGAGAACCTAGAATGACATCTAAAGAATTTCAGGGCTCATTGCAGGACCAAGACTTTGGGGAAAATATTCTTTGGACTGAGGAGACAAATATAGGGTTAGATATAAAGGGCTGACAAAACTAACGTAGCAATTCAAAAAAATAACATCATAGCAACAGTTAAACATGGTGGTAGTGTGTCGGTCTGGGGCAGCTTTCCTGTTTCAGGACATTGAGGACTTGCTGTAATCGAAGGAGCCATGAATTTGAGTCTGAAACAAAAGCACACTTGGGTTATACAGCACGGCAGTGAGCTGAAAAACACCATTAAGTCCACAAACAAAATGAAGGTTTTTAGTGGTGTAATCACAGTTTAGACTTAGACTGAGACCTTTTTGCGTACGGCACAACTAATTTTGAGTCGTTACCTGGTGATTTTTCAGAAAAACAGTATTTACTTAAGTACACTGTACTTTTCTGGGCATGGCCTGGTATTATGGGGTGACTTAACCCTGCATCCATGTGTTAGTGTTATTTATATTTTGCTAAACAGTTTGAAGCTGCAGTTATTAAAGTTAAATGAAAGAATCTGAATTAACTGCTGTTTGGTGACACCTGAATGATATGCTGTTGGAGTAAAACATTTTTCCAACACGCTTTTAATCCGAGTCACAGTAAAAGCTGTATTTTGACAATGTTGTAACGGTTTTTAATATGTAACATAGCTGATAGTTGAAAAAAAGGTTTTGATGGAAATCAGCATTATGTTTTGTAACTTAAGGTTCATGTAAGAAGAAGAAGTCTGATCTAATCTGAATGTGCAATCCACTTACAGAAAAAAGACTCTGGAAGTAACGACATGAAACAAAAATGACTTGTCGATTGAAATCAGTTTTCTGTTTTTATTTCTCCTCAACCAGAGCCCTGTCATCTACGTTCATCTGAAGCACTGCTAGGTGACCAGTCCCAGCCTGAGATTATGATCACACAGCATCATAGCTCCTTAGACTCCTCATCTCTTTCTCCACTGGTAGAACAAGAAGGAGAGGCATATCTGGAGAAAGTTGGCGGTGTGCGGCGCCACACAGTGGCTAATGCACACTCTGATGTCCATCTGCTGTCAGTTTCAAACAAGATGCATGCTGGGATGGAGAACAGCAGAGGGGAAGAGGAACAGGGAGTTGTTGGGTTTTTGGTGGGGGCCAAGCCTATGAGTCCCATGAATTTCTGCCGCCAATTGGTCATGGGAGATTCTCCAAATTGCTCAGAAGACATTGGATATGTGAGACAGAACAAGATGAAAAACTTCAGGGTGACGAATGAAACTAACTGCAGAAAGAAACTCGCAGGACATTATTAAGATTGAAGAAAAAGCAAGAAACTGTGTAGGAATCACGAGGAAACGTCCGTACCAAGCTTGTTCATCTAGGATGGAAAGGTCTGCTCAGGGTCTTAACTGCAATGAATGTTTTAGCATCAGCTAAGAGCTGCTGTCAAGTTCCTCACTACTTATGAGGTTCTTTGTATGTCTCCTAATATCAGGAGGTTCTCTTTTAAGACTGTTATTAAATAGCAAAATTGATTAATAAAACAAATTCATGTGCTTTACAGTACAATACCTGTCCAGACATTGGACACTTCTCAAACATTTTGAAAGAGTAGATTTGTTTTTATCTGTATTATTCTTTACTTTTCAAAAATAAAAATAATAAATGACACATTGATATGTTTATAGTTAATACAAAAATTTAGTCTGACGTCACCATTTTTATCTTCATCAGTTTGTCACTTGGTTGGAGAGGTGTTTAGTTAGCCAGCCAGCCTTGTCATTGTTAACTATTAAAATTACATACAAATTTGGTACCATTCAGCAACTCTGCTAAGAAACACAAAACTAAATAAAGAGCCCGTCAACTAGAATACAATGAATCTGGAAAGTATTCAAAGTGCTTAATTTGTTCCACATTTTAACATGTTTCAGCCTCATTCAAAAAGAAACTAAATTAAAGTGTAGTTTCTCCCATTATTACTCTCAGAACCTCTCAAGTTCAGGGTTGATGGGACGCGTCAGTGCCAGCCATTTTCAGTTATTTCCAGTGATTTTCAATTCAGTTTTAATTTTATTTCTATTGAGCCATTAAACAATAGTCACCTCAAAATGCTTTATGTTGTTAAGTAAAGACCCTATAATAATGGAGAGAAGCGCCAACAATCCAACGACCCCCTTTCAGTGACCACTTGGCAACAGTGGGAAGGGTAAGCTTCCTTTTAACAGGATGAATCCTCTGTCAGAACCGGACTCGCTGAGAGGCAGCCATCTACTGGGACTAATGGGAGGAAGACAGGATAAAAGACACATTTGTTTAATCATTTATTATTAGCTAACGATTAAATGCCGAGTGAGTAAAAAAGTTAAGTGAAGAAATAATCAGTGCATCATGGGAAGCCCCCAGCAGCAAAGACATTTGCAGCATAACTAAGGGTGGATTCATTGTCACCAGATCCAGCCCTAACTATATGCTTTATATGTCCCCCAAATCCAAACTGGGAGCTGGTTCCACAGAAGAGGGGCCTGAAAGCTGAAGGCTCGGACTCCCCTTCTACTTTCAAATACCCTAGGAACCGCAGACCAGCAGTCTGAAAAGCAAAGTGCTCTTTTGGGGAATACGGTACTACAAGGCTTTTAAACATAATATGGGGGCTGATTATTGAAAATGGTATGTAATGAGAAGGGTTTTAATTTCAAATCTGGATTTAACAGAGAGCCAGTGGGGATTAGCCTGTATGGGAGAAAAATGCCCTTTCTAATCCCTCTCAGTATCCTTGCTGTTTGGATCAACTGAGGGTTTTTTAATTAGTTTTTAGGACAGCTTGATAATAATCTGAAAAAATGTATGTTATGCCTTCGAAAGGTACTGCCTAGGGGAAGCGTGTATAATGTAAACAGAATTGTTCCTAATACGGAACCCTGCAGAACTCCGTAATTAACTCCATTTACAAGAACAAATTTGAGTCTGTTAGATGGATATGATTAAAACACTGCAGTGTAATGCCTTTTATTTCTATGCCATGCTGTAATCTCTGTAACAAAATATTGTGGTCAACATTACCGAACACTGAACTGAGATCTCACAGGACAAGTACCGAGATGAGATCACTGTCAGAGGCCATAAGGACATTATTTTAACCTTCACTAACACTGTTTCTGTACTGTGATGTGATCTGAAATTTAACTGAAACTCTTGAAAATAAACCATTACTCTGCAGATAATGAGCTGTTTCATAACTACTCTGTCAACATTGTTTTTAAAGATAAAAGAAAGGTTGAAGATTTGCCAATGATTAGCTAACAAATCTGGGTCAAGTGATGGCTTTTTAAGAAATGCTTTTTACTTCAACCTTAAAGGCCTGTAGTTCACAGCCAATTAATAACGATAGGTGAAAATATCAATTAATGGTAGAACTTCTTTGAGCAGTCTTGAAGGATGCTCAATTGGGTTCAAGTCTGGGCTCCGGCTGGGCCACTCAAGAACATTTAAGGACAAAGGAATTGTCCTAAAACCACTCTTTCTTTTTTTTTTCTTTTTTTTATACTGGCCATGTGCTTAGGGTCATTGTCCTGTTGGAAGAAAAAGCTTTTTGCCGTCATGTGCCTTTTACTGAGAAGTGGCTTCCATTTGGCCACTCTACAATACAGACCTTTGGGTGGAGTGCTGTAGAAATTATCATCCTTCTGCAAGTTTCTCTCTCCATAGAGGAAAAGTGGAACTCTGTTAGTGACCATTGGGTCCTTGGTCATCTCGAGAACCAGTTCTTGTAGAGAACTTGTGGGCCACATCAGCACAAAGACTGAGCTATTTGCCTACACTAACAAGATATATGTTCGGAGGTTTAAAGAGGAGACTTTAAAACCTAAGAACACTGACCATTTTAAGGATGGTGGTGGTAGTAACATAATCCTCTGGAGCTAGCTAGCAACAGTGGTACTGATACAATGTATGCAGTGAATGGGTTGAAACTTAAGAATTTGGAATACCCCCAAATTCTTAAGTTTCAACCCAAATCAAATCACAAGCTGCAGTCTTATGAGCCTTCTGATCCACCATTATATCTGAATGTTTAGCCAGCTGCTTATCTGTCTGGAATTTGAAGACCCACAGGACCTTAACCGTGTAGTTTTCAACTACCTTTGGTGGCGTCTGCCATTGGAAACTGGAGACTTCTAGTCCATATGCAGCACAGATGTTTTTGTACACTATTCCAGCAACTTCGTTGTGTCTCTCAGTGTACACTGTCCCATCTTACATCCTCCTAGTATGTGTTTGATAGTCTGTGGGGCACCTTTGCAACGTGGTTCCTGTTAGCTGTATTAGACTAATTGGTAAATTGAGTGGTTCTTAGATAGCTTTTCGACTCGAAGTGAGCACTCAAACACTTTACACAACTTGCCTCATTCACACAAACGCTTTTTTCTATGCTCTTTCTATATAATTGCTTCCATCTAACATTAACTCACATTCATGCTGCGATGGATGCACCAGAGAGCAACTTGTGATTAGTATCTTGCCCAAAGACATTTGGCATTCAGACTGGAGCGAACAGAATTGGCATTTTCCCTATTACTTAAAGACATTTTATCTGCTGTACATCGTTTTGTTTTTTTAGACCTTGCTATTTCTTTTGTCCTGAACTTATCTGGTTTGCCCAACAGTGCCAAGATTTCAGCTAAAAGTGCTATGGGAATCACCTTGTTGGTGCAAAAATACAATTTTGGTATGTTTTATGTTTTATAGAGCTAGTGAAAGAAATGGGAATAAATTGAGTGCTTCTGCAAAAGCTACTGTCTTCAATTTAAAACTGCTTGATAAAAAAGACGTGGAAATTGCTTCAACTTGTGGCAGATCCAATTAAAATTTATTTTTATTGATTGAACAGTTAGAATGAAAGACATATTTCATTCTAATCCATTAGGTAAACAACATTCAGATATGTTCTAAATCACCAAATTAATACACAGATATATAGGACATGAAACCTGTGACAATTTCAGCTGGTTAAATCATTTGCAACTAAAGTTTTTTCACTGTTGACTGGAAGTAGACACATATTATCATGGTTCCACCCACTACTGGGACCTCTATACAAAGTAAAGAGCAGACGTATGGCAATAAATTTTATCTTGAAAACTGTGAGGACTAAATCTGATGGGTTATATCAAGTTCCAGGTATACAAGTTTACCAACAGGACGAGACAGGACGTGAGACCGTATGTCTCAATTTACCTTCATTACTGGAGAAATTCTTAAAGCACTAACTCAACATGGATGGAAATAGTTCCAGCATATTTCATCTTGACTTTTGTACTGGGGCAAAGTGGGGACACAGGCAGTTGTTAGACACAGATGATAGTCCAAACACATCAGCATCACACTGTAAAAATCAAAGCACTGTCTCTGAGCTTTCAGTGATCACTTCCCAGCAACTACTGACAGTTGGTCTCTGATGCGTCCAAGTCCATCCAGTATAGTGTCCAGAGACTCCCTACTCAGCTCCACAGTCACAGAGGAAACAGACTCACTGTCTGCTGATGAACATGGATCCACCATCTGAAAAATAAGAAGTGCATGACATTTTTCACAAGATTAGATAAAGATTTCACTTTCAACGCAGCAATCTGCAGCATGGGTAACAAATGCTTTGTTACTGTACTGAATTTTCAGGTGTCTGTCCTTGAGTATTTAATTTTCTGACAACTTTTTACATTTATTCCCTACATTTTTAAAACAAATATCTGTACTTTCTACTCCTTACATTTTCAAACAGACTTGTTACTTTAGGTTCATTTATAGTGTTTATACTTGGGGGGATTAAAGTGGGCTGGAAGGAGTGCAGGTATGTTGTGGTTGTAGTACTTCTGCATGTAGCTAGCGCTACAGAAGAGGAGAACGCATGAAGGGAGTGATGTTTTTTTAAATGAGTGGTTATTTCAAAAATTCAACGTTGCTATCAGCTCTGCAAACATTAGCAAACACAAACTGTTTGTGTGCAATTTGTCGCACAGTGTGTTGCTCCAGGTGCTGTATTTCACAGGGAGAGAAAAGAAGGAGAGCTAATGTCACTCAAGTGTTTGTGTACATGGTCACATTATGTACACTTAGAAAGTCTACTGAAGCTCATGCTATAAATAATTGTGAGTTGTGATTATTTCCTTTTGCTGAGCCACTACACAGATCTTAGGGTTCCCCCACCTGCTAAATCCGACTGTAACCCCTGACTGTACTCATTTTACTGTTTAGGTGTGGAGACAAAGTCACCCTGCAGGCAACAGAAAATAGTTTTGGTTTTTTTTACATTCTCTTCTACATAACAGATTGAATCTTTTATGAGAATTTAGATTGGAAAAATATTTGCACTCTCGTGTACTGATATTGTTTATATTCATTTAGCACAAGGTTCAGTTACCTTTGTACAAAAATGGTTAGTAGAATTGTTCTTCAAGGAGCTACTCTTTTTAACTTCAAGTACATTTCAGAGCCTGTGTTTTTTCACTTTGACTTGAGTAAAAAAGCTGAATCAGTACTTCACCTGTTACTGGAGTATTTTTAACACTAGTATCTGTACTTCTACTTTAGTACAGAAAGTCTGTACTTTTGCCGCCTCTGTTTACTCTGCCTCCAAACACAAATGAGTCAATGCACCATGTTGTTTGGATGTTTGTGAATGTCGAGAATTATATGAATATACCCACTCTGACCATACCTTCAGTATGAAACGTGAATAGTATCACTGTTTACTCAACAATTATTTAGGAATGAGTGTGTTTGTTAAACTGTGTTAAAATCTCAGTTATACTAAAGCTAAAACACTGGAATATCCCGTTGATTGATTGATGTAAGATACTTTATTTCAATCCTTATATAATGCCTCATATAATATAGTAGTATTGCATTGTATGTTATAACACATCGGATATATGATTATATGATACATGAATATGTGCGCATGATGTGCACTTTATTGTTATGTCCAAAATTTTTTCTTTGCACATCGTGGGAGACTGATGGCTCCTGGATCTGATGCAAGAGAGATAAATAACTGGCTGGTATCTGGGCTGATGGTGGTTGATGTGTCAATGGTATATGTCACTCAGACCAGCTGCAGGGTGATGCAGGGTCAGATCTGCAGGTCAGAGTGATCTCTTGAGAGTAGTAAATGACATCACCACTGGAACATAATGGATTTTTCAAACACTGCCTGAGTAGACCAAGAAGCAGAAATTTACAGAAGAAGTGACCTTGGTGGACCTTTTTTGCTAAATAACAGAGCGACCTGTCTTGGATTGTTAATCCCAGATAGTCGCAGATAATTAATATTTGGTCACTTTTTCCAGGAAAAAATAAATAAACATTATTGGGTCCACTAGAATAAAACAGAATAGCTTTTTAATGTCATTGTACATGTACAACGAAATTATAGGTGCTCTGCACCAACTGTGCATGA